GGCTGGTCTCGATCTCTTGACCTCGTGATCCACCCGCCTCGGCCTCCCAAAGTGCTGGGATTACAGGCGTGAGCCACTGCGCCCGGCCTTAAATTTTGTATTTTTAGAGCGAGACTGCATCTAAAAAAAATAAAAATGAAACCAGCTCAGATGTGGCCTTCTCAGATGGGACTGACCCCTGCAATGGGGCATGGCAGTGTCCGTCTTGGGCCAGTTGGGGTTGCCCTGCAAGGCGTGAGCTTGTGCTTGCTTTAGACAGAAAGGGCCAGGCCAGCTGTTTCTTGCCGGCCCCATAGTACTGGGCAGGTTCCTCAGTCTCCAAGATGCGGTGCCCTCAACTCCATACTCACAATAACCTCATCAGCGTGGGTGCCTCTCAGAGATACCAGTTTGACCCTAAAATACAGGCAGCAGGCCAGGCATGTGGTTCATGCCTGTAATGCCCGCACTTTGGGAAGCTGAGGCGGGTGGACCACCTGAGGCCAGGAGTTTGAGACTAGCTTGGCCAACATGGTAAAACCCTGCCTCTTCTAAAAATAGAAAAATAAGCTGGGTGTGGTGACACATGCCTGTAGTCCCAGCTGCTTGGGAGGCTGAGGCAGAAAAATTGCTTGAGCCAGGGACGTGGAGGTTGCGGTGAGCTGTGATCGTGCCACTGCACTCCAGCCTGGGCAACAGAGTGAGACTCTGTCCCAAAAAAAAAAAAAATTGGCCAGGCACGGTGGGAGACCGAGGCAGGTGGATCACCTGAATTCAGGAGTTTGAAACCAGCGTGACCAACATGGAGAAACCCCGTCTCTACTAAAAATACAAAATAGCCAGGTGTGGTGGCGCATGCCTGTAATCCCACCTACCCAGGAGGCTGAGGCAGGAGAATTGCTTGAACCCAGGAGGCGGAGGTTGCGGTGAGCTGAGATCGCGCCATCACACTCCAGCCTGGGTAACAAGAGCGGAACTTGGTCTCAAAAAAAAAAAAATTGACCAGAGTGTTCAGCACCAAGAGCAAGTGGTGGCCACCTATGGGAGGAGGGAGAGTGTGTGAGGCTTTTCTTCCTAATCCAAGAGGCAGGTGTGTGTTCTGCGCTGGGCAGAGTAAGGAAGTGGCATTTCCAGCGGAGAGTGATTGACACGCACTCCTGTGCTCCCCGCACCGCACCATCCATGAGTCGTGGGGTGTACTCGAGACCAGAGCTCCCAGGCGCTGGTCAGACAGACAAACCATGCAGCTTTATTTGCCTTTCAGCTTCCCTTGTCACTGCTGAAGACAGCTCAGAATCACCCCATGGTGAGTACTTGCTGGTCTGGGACAACCTGTTGGGGGCGGGGCGGCCAGCCTCAGCACAGGGACAGTGGCTGAGCGTCTGCCTGTGACAGTGGCTTCCTGCCTGTCCACCAGTACGGCAGCTCCTTCCCTTCTCTCTTCCCAGGCGTGTCCACACCCCTGTCTTTTCTGCTGCTTGTGATGGTAATATATACATACTTATTAATGTAGTCGGCCAACTGCAGTGACTCATGCCTGTAATCCCAGCACTTTGGGAGGCCGAGGCGGGCAGATCACAGAGGCGAGAGATGGAAACCATCCTGGCCAACATGGTGAAACCCCGTCTCTTTTTTTTTGAGACGGAGTTTCACTCATGTTACCCAGGCTGGAGTGCAATGGCGCGATCTCGGCTCACCGCAACCTCCGCCTCCTGGGTTCAGGCAATTCTCCTGCCTCAGCCTCCTGAGTA